GCAGTGGGTGGGGAGTGAGGGGTGAGGGGGGGGCGGAAACTGGGAGGAGGGGATTTATGGGGGGGGGGAAAGAGGAACAAATGTAATAATCTGAACAATAAAGATTTAATTTAAAAAAAAATAAAGAAAGCACCTTCTAACCTGGCTGGGAATTGTACGAGAGACCTGAGTAAACCTTGAAATGAGGTCCATTCTCATCAAAGAACTGCCTATTATCATGGCAGAAACAATGGAGGTACCTGCTCTGCCCTTTTCAAACCTCCAACCTACAATCCCTGCATACCTACTACTATTCTTATCCCTTTTGCCTACTTCCCCATGTAATCTTTGTCTTACCCAATATAAGCCGCTGACTTATTATGGGGAGGAAGGCTCAGATTTTTGTGGGTGACCTGCTGCTCTCCCATACTGTCAACATTATTGGAATGAGCATTCATATATGATTCAACCCTGTCTCTGCTTAATTGGCTCAAGCAGTGACAGGCAGTCCAAGACCATTGGTTGTTCGGTCTCACTTACCCTTGTTGATATTAAATGGCATTATAAAGCTACAGAAATTAAAACAGGGCAATTCTATACAAGCATCAAAAGAGAAATCAGTGGAACAGAAAGACTACCCAAAAAGAGCCCTATCAATTAAAACTTTATGATATATGGGCAATTAAAATCACTAGAGAAAGGATGGCTTGTTTAAAAAATGGCATTAGAATAAAAAAAACAAAACAAACAAACAAACAAACAAAATTATTCTAAAGTGGTTATATCATCAGATTCCAATTTAGATAAATTACTACTATCTCTACTACGTCTTTCTTAGTTCTAGCTCTTATTTCCCATCTTAAATTACTGTGCTAGTTTCCCAGTGAGCTTGTTTATGGCCTGTCAATACTCCCCTCACCCTGCTGGCCATACTGCGGCTTGTGCAATAGGCCTCAATAACACATTCAGTCACATCCCTGCTTTGTCCAAATGACATTCTGGCTGATGATGGCTGGCTTTATATCCATCTCCATGACTAGACAATAAGCTGTCCACTGCAGAGACTCTGGCTTAAAGGTATTTGTGTTCCACTGCTATCTCACTGCATGGTCACCTTGTGGTCCACAAATATCTGATGACTAAGTGAATACAAATTTCAGCTGCATCTCTGTTTCCAAAAATAGTATCACAAGGAACCACATTTATTTCCAATTTTTTCTTTCAAGTCTTCCAAAGAATTCCTTATTTCCATGACTTTAAAATCCTGGCCAAACTAATTTTACACCAACCGATGCCCTTTTCGTGTACGTATTTCAGGGTCTCACAAAACATTGAACAAATAATGAGAAATTTATTGAATAAATTTATATTGTCCTTTTCCCCATTTGTCACTTCTCACATAAAGTTCACTCTTCATGTTAACCACTTGGCTTTGAATTTCAGCGATATTCACTTTCAAAATTAAAATAACCAAATGATCTTCTTTAACCTTGCCTACAGAAACCAAGCAAAACAAAGGCACAAAACAAAGTTCCCTGAAACAAACAAAACAAAACAACTTTCTCACCCCAGGCAACAGAGACAATAGCAGAGCATTATTTCTTTCCCGGAAGGCATATCTGCTATGCACTTTTATGTGCTAATTCAGGACTGAGAACTTGCATCCCTTTCTTTTTTATCCCCTTCTCTGGTTTCACTTTGCATTCAATCCATCATGGAATCTGCTGGGGGGTTTTCCTTAGGCTTCTTTCTCCTTTTTTTTTTAGTTTTTCTATCACCAGCCTATCTCAGTTTGCCTGCCCCTTCTCTTAAATACAGCAAACACATTCATCTATAGTTGTCTCTCTCAAATAGTATTTTTAATATATCCTTCCTTGATCAATTATATTCAGCCATTAATAATGTCTGTGGAATAAGTTCAAACTCTTAGCTGTGTCAATAATTGGATTTCAATTTGAATAAATTATCTCTGTGCATTTAACAATAACTAATATCTGTTGTAATTATTTTAACTCGGAATTGCAGAAATGCTTTATTCTGCAGTGTAATATTTAATATTTCGTGGAATTTGTAACGCTTAATGTTCTTAGATATACAATTGACTTTTTAAAAAATAAGTTGGTAATATTTCCTCATCTTCTTGTTAAAATTCTCAGACCACAGGTCCCTATCCTATTTGCTCATCAGAGTTCCAAGGCAGAGTCCCTCAAACTTTATTGTGTTATGAATTAAATAGGGACCTTATTAAAACACAATTTCCAATTGAATAGGTCTGGGTGGGGCTTCAGACTCTTAAGTTTCTAACAAGTTCGAAAATGGAGTTTGTGTGCCTGCTTCAAAGATTACATTTTACTAGTAGAAGGACGTGGTATAGTCACAATAATATACAACTTAATCATGGGCATTGATGGAATGTGTCTTTCGACAGTCTCACCCATTCTATGAATTGGGTCTTTCTCCTTATAATACCTGTTTGTCCATGAGAAAATTTAAGTTTAAAGAAGATTAGCAATTGTTCAAAGTCATGAACCTAGTAGTTGTCAAGCCAGGATACAGATAAAGGGTTCCCATAAAAAAGCCTGCCTCTAATCACACCAGCATAGAATTTTAATTTTAGAAGTATTTAGATGGATAAATGCACTTTAGAAGAGCTACACCTAGCTATATTGCTTACACTCACCTGCTTTTGGTTTGATGGCTTCATGTTATTTATTCTTGTTTTAACTCTCACAACTTAAATTTCTGGAGGACAAAAAATGTAACTGGATGCAGCTTACCTCAGTCATCTGTCCTGTGATCATTACTTTCTTGCATAGGGATACGGATATGGATATGGATATGGATATGGATAATTGGGTTGATACTGTGGATACTGTGGGTATGGATAATACCCTCCCTGAAAATAAAATTACAAAAATTGAGACAATGCCAGTATTGATATTTCATAATAATTTTCATTAAAAACTTAGTTTGTTAAAATTGGTAGGAACACAAGTTTAAAGGAAGAGGAAAATTTAGAAAAACATCTATAATTATACTCTTTGTTAATAATTTTGTTGTTTTATAATACAGGCAGAGCCACTGATTATAGCCATCCCCTCCAAGAAGTTTTAATATTCCTTAAAATATTACCAAGTTCCTTAATTTGTCCATCCTTGAATTTTCCAGGGAGAAGGAATTTGCTAATTCCAGGTTAGGTGGACTTGTTATGTCTCAAGCTCTACTTATAATGATGACCTTACTATCACTTCAAACTCCTACTTTCTTTAATATTCACTCCCGTTAAATTCAATATCCTTCATCGCTCCTTCTTTATATTTCAATTTGGTGCCATGTTAAAATTCATCTATTTAATATATTAGTAAGAATTTTGAGACCTTATCATATTGATATGGGATGTGAAAATAATATGAGGTTTCAAGAATACATTTCATTAAAAAAAAGAATACACTTCATTACAGAATGCCAAATAAATGAAATTTTCTATCTTATTTAATAAGATCAATTTAACTTAACCTAGTGACTTCATCATCCTCCACAAGAATCAAAAGGTGAAAACTTACCACATTATCTGTGTCATTAGCAGCCTCTATGTTCCATTACGCATACATTATACTAAATAGCTCTAGAATTTCAACTATTCTTTAGGCAACTAGTTAACAAACAAAGATACTTGCATTCTGTAAAAAATAAATTGGCTTTTTCAGGATAGCATTATGAGTTTTTACCTAAATGCTACCAGTGTATAACCTTTACGTCCTTTTCCAGCATATCAAAATAAATAAACTCAATGTCTCCATTGGCTATTTACTAGACGGATGTTTCAGAGATAAGGATTGATTCTTCTAATAGAATAATTACTTAGACAAGAGAATGAATTTTATTATACCACATTATTTGGGCAATACTTACATCGAATCTGTTTCTACGGTAACGTTTCTGTTAAAATAAAGGACAAATTAAAATTGTTAATCCATATTTACCTATCAAGTTTCTAAATATGTGATAATGTCTTACCTCTTCAGATGAAGAAGAATCAGCACTCTTAAAAAAAAAGAGGGAAAAGAATGAACATCTCAATTGTATAATTCTAGATTGAGTGCCAAAATGCACTTGGCTGCCACAGTTATGATTAAACAAGATGGAGGCAAAGCCTTAGGTAACTGATCACAAAGTTGGCTGTTTCATGATAGTGAAATGCACTTGGCTGCCACAGTTATGATTAAACAAGTTGGAGGCAAAGCCTTAGGTAACTGATGCACAAAGTTGGCTGTTTCATGTTAGTGATAGAATGAAGACTAGGCTTAGGTTATAATTAATTTGCTACATTCCAATATCAACTCACTTGGATCCAAATTGCTTTTGTGTGATAAGGAAGAAAATCTATCACAGTGACCAGGAGAGTGAAAATGAAAAGTTAAAATGTGGGTTAGCTCAAGACCACGTATGTTCTAAGTTGCTGAAAAACTATGTACATTTACATATTGATTGTACAGGTACAGACTGGTAATTGATTATGGTGTTCTCTGTTCTTGGATTTTTATTTTGTTTGCACTTGCACTTCTGAGTGTGCTTAGTGTCTGTCTGTGTGTATTTGAGATTTATTCTAAGTCCTTAATGTACTGATGTGGTTAATTCAAGGAAAATGTCCATACAAAACCATGTTCGGGCGATGCTACTGTGGCCCACAACGCAAGAAATAAGGAACAATCTCTGAATAACTCCTGAGAACATATTCTTCAAAATGTTCTGATATACTTACAATCATGGCAACCATGAGAGCCACGATAAAGGTAAAGACAAAGATCTTCATATTTTGGCCGAGTCCTGTGAAAGCATAGGGGTGGATCAGTAACACACTCATTCCTGCACTTGCAAATCACTTGTTGATAAAAGTAGAATCCACAGCTTTGGGAAACAGACTAGAAATACAGAGAGACTTAAAGCACATCACCTGACATCTGGAACTTAGACACTAGTAGGGGACATTGATAAGTAAAGGTAAGTGCTGTAGTATAGAAATAATATAAGCTGGCAAAATGGACATCTTAGACTGAGAGAAGTAGGGTGGTATGAAAAATAAATCAAAGGTAAAGCTTGTGTTAAGTTATATAGAATATGCAGAGAGAAGTTTGGAAAAACAAAAATGAGAGAAAGGATAGCATATAGGAAATGAAATAGTTCACCAGGTAAGAACAAAAATGTAGACTGGCTGAACGTCCAGATTATTGTGACATTATAGGGGCCTTACATACTGACATATGGGGTAACAAGTAAGATAGGGTTTAAATAACTGTTTAGAAGGTAGAATTCAAGCAACAAAGACAGGTTTTATAATAGAGGCAGGTAAAATCAGTTAGGTCTCACGCTTGAGAATAGTAGAGGTGGTGTAACCCTAGTAATGAAAATTTAATGATAATAGAGAAAAGTCAAATTAAAGAAGTTTCAGGGAAAATAATTATAAATACATTGAGAAAATGGGTTGGTAAAAATTATTTAATTTCCAAATAGTGTTATTCAATGAAATTACCCTAATCTGGGAATTTTATATACGATTTTGTAATTCTGTATATACAAGTGAACTCAGTTCTGTTGCTGTTGTATAGGAAATAAATCAGGTTATTTATTTTCCAGTTATAGATTTCTAAATAAAAACATATTGCAAACTTTAAGGTAAATAGTGAGTAAATGTTTTTCCCCCTTATCAATTTGGACCCTCAGTTTTGATAGAATAATAGGGCAATATTTTTTTATGATTATAGAAGAAACAATTCTTCTGCCTAATAACTCTAAATCTCTAACATATGAAGCACAAATTGTGATTGATGATATTTCCCTTGTTCTGTATTTGCTAATTTTGTCTCATTGTTTTAAACTCAGGACTGTGTCATTGGAAAAACAATAAGTTATATATTTCTTGATGAAGTTTTTTAAACCATCTACTACTTACCAAACATTTAGTCATGTGATGATACCAACAAGGATGCAGTTTTTAGTGTTGTTCATACCTCAAACTTTGTTGAAAGTAGAGGATTAAAGGAAATTCAAAGAAACTGGTCTTCTATAGAGAGATAGTTACCCCAGATGGGTAACTATCGACTATTTTCTAAAGAACACAGTGATAAATGTTTGACATAGCATAAAAGCTTTTTCAACCAAATCACTAATGAATTAATAATATATTGCATACAATGAATTAATAAAACAAAAAATTCATTATTCAGTGCTAATATGCAGAAAATTAGAACCTATTTTTATGATAAAAAGAACAATGAAAATGTAATGGAAATGAATTATTGATGGTGATACAGTAACTATGGTAAACTTTGAAATAATACACACATGTGCAAAAACAGAGCTTATGCTATTCAAGAGGTCGTTTTCTTATAATAGATGACCTTGACCATTAAGTTAAAGGTAAAACTAAACATTAACAAAGTATTATATATTGAGTTAAGAAAATAAAAAGACATTTAGGATATCCCATCTATGAAGAACATCAGTACATCTCCCTCTTGTACCACATTTCTTTGGTACAATCCTTTGTTTGGCACAATGCTTGCTGTAAATTTAGGGGCATTGTGATTCTGTCCTCAACTTCAAATCCTGACATAGAATCTTCACCTCTATAAATTGTTTCTTTATGCGCAATCACCAATAAATAGTGTACATTTTACAAATGGTTTGCAACTTACTCTAATAAACCAAAATCATAACAAGACATCATATTAGATTTTCCATGAATATATTACCTTTTGCCCAAGATGAGAGTTCAAGAAGCTGAAATGGCGAAGCCCTGAAAGACAATATGCCTTTCTGGAGAACTGATGTATTTATATACCCTTATGAGATCATATTAATAGAACTAAAAGTGATGCCCAAATCTGTCCCCACAGATACTAAGAATAGACTTAGATTTTACAATAGAAGATTGTGTAGCAGAGTAACCAGGAAATAATTGTTCCCATCATGTGTTAATCTCAATATTTGTCTAAGTGTGCATGAATAAGCCTCAGAGATATGCATGCTACAGTAAAGTAAGCATGGAAATGAATTGAAATGGTAAAAGTATTTCTGCAGAACACCAACTGTCCTATTTGAACAAACACATGTCAAAGATGGAAAAACTCCATGTCCAAAATGATACTACTTTATCAAAATTTTACTGGTTTTCTAATATATGGTAGCAACTCTTATAATAAAATTGGAGTCATCATTTATTTCAAATGCATCTCCGACAAGTTATTACAATGTACCTTTTTTATGGACTTTGAAATATTTTAAATCTTAAGGTATATTTAAAGGTGTGCCAAAATGCACTAATCAGCGAGTATTAGATAATACATAAAACAGTTCTTAGTATTACAGTCCAATGACCACAGAAGCTCAGTTCTCTATGTCTCACATAGTAACTGGATGCTTATATTTGGGTATTGAATTTCTTCTTTTCAGTCCTTAGAGGCTCATGACCCTCACTGGGAACCATGTTTTAATGTAATTCCACTAGATAGGAGGAAAAATTAGTTTTCACTAAGTCTCCAGGCAAATGTGTTTATAAATTCAGGTCTTTGCCCCTGGTTGAATAATGAAATGTACTCAGAATTAAGTACACAAAAAGGCATTTTAAGTGTTAGGTATATTTGGTGTCCTAGCCCATCATTACTCAAAATGTGGCTCATGTGACCACCACAGTTAGCATCACCTGGGAGCTTGATGTGAAGGAAATGCAAATCCATAGGCCCTCTTTCCAGGCATGTTGAATCAGAATCCTGGAGGTACAGTAGCAATCTCTTGTTATCCATTTCTCCAGGTGACTCTTTGTTTAACATAAATTTTAAGATACCATATAATCGATTCATTATGCATCTATAAAATGGACCTTATAAATAGAATTTAAGGTTTCACTTTTTATCAGGTGGTTTGAGGAAATATTTGTTAGGTGAATCTTCTATGCGATATTTAAACAACCACATTAGATATTGTTATTTTCTTGGTGGTAAACAAAATATTATTAATGATTTATTAAGGCAAATAAAGTCCAATTCAATTAAAATAATAATTATTCTTTTTAATTGATATCAACACCTTGTAATAGTCCATTTTCAATGCAAAACAAATTTAAGGTCTAGTGTATTCTCAATGGATAAAAGTTATACAAGGTTCAAGAGTATAAAAATCAATATGATTTTAAAAATATATCCTGCTTTATTTATTTAAGGAATGTCAAATGATTTTCTTCCTTCCTTTTTCTTTTTTTTTTTCACTCTCTCTTACTTATATCACCTCCTTTCTTCCTTCATTTATTTCTGCAGTGATTTTTCTTGGGGCATGTTACTAGACGCTATTCTAGTAGAATTATGGTATTCACACTTCTGAAGAAAGTGTAAAATAGTGATCCAAAGGCACTATTGGATCCAAATTGCAACAGTAGTTAAATAAATAAACATCATGGGGAAATGCCAGGAAATAAAATTTAACAGATGCTAATACACAAAATTAAAACCTACAATTAACTCACAAATACTTTAGGTAGGTAAACCAAAATATGGGCATTGTTTCACACCTCATTTTTGTTTCAACACAATAGGAACTGTGGGGATTATGTGTGATAGAAGGGAACAAGAATAGTGGACTTTACACATAGGACTAGCCTTGTGTGTTACTTATGAATTCATCCTCCCTGAACAATAGATCATTTTAGAATATTGATGGACCAGAACTTGTTCTGTTTTTTTATAATTAAGTAAAACTGGTGTCATATAAGCTACAACTAAACACCATACAGTTTGAAAATGTCAGTCTTTCATACAAGGGAAGAAGCAATAAAGAGTGACTGCTATGTCACTAGTGTGGCATTTAATTGGTGGCATAAAGATGCAATCTCTAAATGGGTATTTATGATGATGTTTATGCTAGATTCCCCTTCTCCTTCTCTTCCTCTCCTTTTTTTCTTCCTCCTTCTCCTCTTCCCCTCCTCTTCTTTCTCCTCTCCCTCTTTTTACTTTTCCTACAATGAAATATGCTACACAGTCTATGACAAAATCCATGATATTTATTTATTTATTTAACTAGAAAAGCAGTTTGTGTTATATTCATGGCAATGGCAACTGAGAGTAATCATGGACTTTCTAATTGGACCTATGAATTGGGATTATTTCATTATTTGTTTTCATAGCGTGTGCCTTGCTCAATATGAGCATGGTTCAAGAGTAAATATTAGCTGAATAGTTGAAATGGACTATAGACATTCACTTAGCAATATAAAACATAAGGAGAAATTAGAAGTGTTCCGCTCCCTCAAACATCTAGCATTATATAAATGCAAGTGATATTATAAAAGGAAAATGATTAATTATGCAAATACGTTATTTACTTGCTTTAAAGGGGCATTTACCCGTGCTTAAGTCCTGAATGTATCTATTACAAGCAGTGAACAGAAAAAAAAAAGAAAATTGTAAAATTGAGCAGCATCAAACACAATCAATCAATTACATTTGTGAACATCCGTCACTAGAGACCAGAAAAAATTTGAAGACTCTTTTGTAAGCAGGA